CGCAATGAGAAATATTTATAATTTTATAAATTATATTATCATTATAAATTATAAAATTAAATAATTTAAATTATAATTTTAAATAGAAATAAGTAGATTGTTAATTATAAAAGTAAGTACATATAAATAAAGAATAATTAAATATATTATTACTATTATTCGTAATATAAAATTATTATATATTATTATTATAGTACAAATATGAGATTGTATAGTTGAAGATGACTTAAATAAATTAATTTTTACAAGTTATACTAACAACATGCATATACATTTCGGTAGCTTATCTCATCATAACTTTATAGTTATGCGTGCTTGACTTGTAGTAATATAGGAATGGGTGACCTTCTGGGAAGTTTCTGAGAAATTGCGCAAGTAAGGATAAAATACGGTAAAAAGTGAAATGTCGTGAAATAGAACTCTTGAGAGGCCAAATATGAGGGTTATCAAATTAATAAATTTATTAAAATTAAACAAAAATTATAATTTCTAACGGATTTTGGGATGTTTCCCAGAAATTGCGCAAGTAAGGATAAAACACGGTAAAAAGTGAAATGTCGTGAAATAGAACCTTTGAAAGACCAAATATGAGGGTTGTCACATTAATAAATTTATTAAAATTAAACAAAAATTATAATTTCCAACAGAATTTTTCGTCAAAAATTTCTGACGGAAATTTTTGACGAATTTTCTGACAGAAATTTCTAATGGAATATGGTATTTCAGACGGATTTTTTTTTCCGACACCACTTTTTCTGACGGATTTAAATCCATTGGAAATTTACTTATTTCCGTCAGAAATTTTGTCGAAAATTAGCATTTTTCTTGTAATGGAAGAATTGCATGGAGTTGAGTTAATTATGTCAATTCCCAATAACGACTCCCTTTATTCTATCAAATCTCTCTCAAATATACAATATGTGGAGTCTTTTTCTATTCTCTTCAAATCTTATTTTTATAAGATTTTAAATGGGCTTTTTCAATTGGGCTTGTAGTGTTTACTCGCTCAGAGTGCTTAGATGATTGATAAGATTTTTGTAACAATCGTATCCAATCTTTGTAGTATAGGAAAAAGTAGGGTGTCAATCCTCAAAGACTTGGAAGTTATTTGAAATTTGTGTTATTCTAATTGAAACTTGAATTAATATATATCCTCAAAATATTAACAAGATGTTCATAACAATTTTAGATGCTGTAACAGTAAGATAAGATTGCAAGTCAAATCAAGAGGTAGGAAATATCATATTAGAGAATTGTTGGGATTATTTTTCACCTATCTCACTTATATATGTTCCTATGATCATTCATATATGATCTTATTATCTAATATTATCAAGTTCATGAAAATCATTCTAAACCAATTCCTTGCTTTCAGAAATTCTAAGGGACCTAATTCAATACTTGATTTCCTTAATTATCAACCTAAATACCTTGCATTAAACGTTAATAACTTGAACAACTAACAATCTCAAAACTATTCCTAGCCTTTGAAATTGATAGGTGATTTGATTTAGAACAGATTCAGAAATTGTCTTCCAACCAAATTCTAAACCTTAGGTCAAAGATGAGAGATCAATTCATCCAAGCATTAAGAATAGAATCACAATCAATAACACTTAATAATATGTCATATATAAATAAATCAAAATAAATACATAAGGGTTGATAGTTTACATTTAATCCCAATAAAACAAAATGATTAGCCCCTCATGATGATGATAAGAACCAATCCAGGATATAAGGAAAATGGAAAAGAGAAGAAAGGAAATTTGTAAGAATCCACATTCTCAGCTGGTTCTAAGATCCTTCAAGCTCTATTCTTATTTTGCCCTTATTCCTTTCTACCCTAATTTCTCTATCTATTTCTCCTTTTATATGTTATCCAAAATAAAATAGAATGTGGAGGAGAGAGATTAAATCACTCAATGCTTTCTAAACTGTTGAGTGATTTGAGCATTCTTCAAAGTGAAGAAACATCAATGGTTGAGCCCCTAGAGATCCGTGGAGCCCTGTGAGGTCAAATTCATCATGTCCTTTGGACCCAAACCGCTAAGTGCTTTCCAAATGGCTGAGTGACTTTAGGTTTGAGTTGGAACTAAAATTGCTTTTCCACCACCAAAAACCCAAAATTAATATACAAAAAATATCATCACTTTCAACAAATTATATAATTTCATATCCTTTTGATTTCAGCTACAAACATAGGGGGTTTACTTCTCAATTTCATATTAAACTAGCTATATAAGTGTCTAAAATGGTTATAATTAATTAGACACTTATAAATGACTTGCTTTAGCGAGCTCTTCATGGTGCTCCAAATATATCTTCTGACTAGGGATGGAAAAAATATTCATACCCATGAATATCGACAAATAAAATCTACCATGAATAATAAATGGGTAGTCAAAATGGATACCCATAGATAATAGGTACAAGTATTTGTTTACCCATTTATAAACACAACGGGGATGAGTACGATAGTATCCATACCCACGGGTATTCGCTAAATAATATTACTTAAATATTCATTTTTTTATCTTATATTTTCATATTATTTTAATATTTCAAAAAATATCATTAATTACAAGTTTAAAAATTAATATCAATTTTTTATCGTTAATATTTTAATATAATTAATATAAAATATAAGCTTAAGTTATTTATAATACTTTTTAAAAAAAATTAAATAATTCACAAATATCCATGGATACCCAAGGGGATTTATAAAATTCATGGGTAACTGTTAAATGGATACCTGCACGTGTATGGATTGGGTACAAGGAGAATTTTATCTGATGGGACAAGTATGAGTATCCTATTACTTGCCCCAATAAGGTCCCATTGTCATCCATACTTTGACTTAACTCACTCAGAGTGTTCAGATTACTCACTTTGAAAGAGCATGAAGTTGCTCATAGCACTTTTCTCTTGCTCTAAGCAAATGTTCTCGATGTTAAGCTTCTTTGGCATTACCTTTTTCCTCCCTGTATCTAAAACCTAACAAAAAAACAAGAAAAAAACTTAATACTTAAAGAATTTTACTAATTAACAAGATAAAATTAAAATACTAAATTTTGATAAAAATAGGATTCTGATGCATAATAAGATATGCCAAATAATTATGTAAATTAGATAAAAGATATTGACATATTTGAAAATGATCAAAACACATCATATGTAAAATCTTGTTTGTCCTAAGTGTAACGCCTAATCGTATTAATATTAATCTCAGTAATATCGTTCCTCCCATGTTTAGCCGAGACAGCAAAACCTATTGTTGGATTGCTGAGGAAAGTGAACAAGTTTGAATGGTCTGACGAATGTGAAAAAGCGTTCAAGACGCTGAAGGAACGTCTCGGTTCTCCTCCCATCCTTTCAAAACCCAATCCTGAAGTCGATATGGTAGTTTATTTATGCGTGTCAAATGAAGCAATCAGTGCAGTTCTGGTCCAAGAAGTAGGGTCGCAACAACCCGTCTACTTCATCAGTCGCATGTTACAGGAAGTCGAGACGAGATATCAACTCCTTGAGAAGGTGGCATTAGGGCTTGTTCACACTGCTCGACGTCTCAAACAATACTTTCAGAGTCATCGTGTCATAGTCCGAATGGATTGCCCGATTGCCAAGGTTTTGCGTAAACCAGAATTAGCTGGATGGATGATGGCTTGGTCGATTGAGTTGTCAGAATTCGACATTAATTTCGAACCGAGGGGTCTAGTCAAGTCCCAGTACTTGGTGGATTTTATTAATGAATTACAGCCGAAGGGTCATTTTTTGAGTGATTTGTGGACAATAAAACTGGCAGGACGGCTCATAGCGTTGTCACGGTTCCTCCCATGTTTAGCCGAGACAGCAAAACCTATTGTTGGATTACTGAGGAAAGTGAACAAGTTTGAATGGTCTGACGAATGTGAAAAAGCGTTCAAGGCGCTGAAGGAACGTCTCGGTTCTCCTCCCATCCTTTCAAAACCCAATCCTGAAGTCGATATGGTAGTTTATTTATGCGTGTCAAATGAAGCAATCAGTGCGGTTCTGGTCCAAGAAGTAGGGTCGCAACAACCCGTCTACTTCATCAGTCGCATGTTACAGGAAGTCGAGACGAGATATCAACTCCTTGAGAAGGTGGCATTAGGGCTTGTTCACACTGCTCGACGTCTCAAACAATACTTTCAGAGTCATCGTGTCATAGTCTTGTATCTACTCCGCACCTAGCAATGAAGTTTCCATCCGACAAGGGGAAAATCATCACAATCCATGCCGACCAGAAGGCTGCTCGGGAATGTTATTTTGCTAGTTTGCGAATAGCTCCCATGGAAGAAAGAAATTCCAAGTCTAAGAGGGTTCATGTTGTTAATCCTTCGGCATCGGCCGAGGAGCCAGTTTGGGATCTGGACCCAAGAATGAATGATGAAGAACGTGTAGAGCCAGTGGAATCAAAAAGTCAGCTGCAAATCGGGTTGCACCCAGCCCAGGTTACGTACATTGGTGCCGACATATCTGAAGAAGATCATTCTATCTTGTGTCGGGTAATAATGAAAAATAAAGACCTTTTTGCATGGACACCTTCTGACATGCCTGACATAGACCCCAGTGTCATGTGTCATAAGTTATCAATTTGTGCTGAGGCGAGACCGGTTGCTCAACGTAAAAGAAAAATGGGCACGGATCGGAAAATTGCAGTTGAAACAGAGGTTGCCAAGTTACTTGAAGCCAGGTTTATCCGGGAGGTTCACTATACCACTTGGTTGGCAAACGTGGTAATGGTGAAAAAGCCGAACGGAAAATGGAGAATGTGTACTGATTACACTAATCTCAATAAAGCATGCCCCAAAGATGCTTACCCACTCCCGAACATAAATCGGCTAGTTGATGGCGCCTCAGGTCACAAAGTCCTCACTTTTCTCGACGCTTATTCGGGATATAATCAAATCCCCATGCATCCCAGCGACGAATAAAAGACAGCCTTCATAACTGACTCGGCCAATTATTGCTATCAGGTAATGCCTTTCGGGTTGAAAAATGCAGGTGCAACTTATCAGAGGTTGATGAATAAAGTGTTTCGACACCAGCTCGGTAAGAATATGGAGGTATATGTTGATGATATGGTTGTTAAGTCTGGAGACCTTGAACAACATGTTGTTGACCTGGCGGAGGTGTTCCAACAATTACACAAATACGATATGAGGCTTAACCCAGAAAAATGTGTATTTGGTGTATCAGGAGGAAAGTTCCTCGGCTTTATGATGTCGGCAAGGGGCATCGAGGCCAATCCCGACAAGTACATGGCAGTCATCAACATGGTCAGCCCTCGGAACATGAAAGAAGTTCAAAAACTGGCAGGACGGCTCACAGCGTTGTCACGGTTCCTCCCATGTTTAGCCGAGACAGCAAAACCTATTGTTGGATTGCTGAGGAAAGTGAACAAGTTTGAATGGTCTGACGAATGTGAAAAAGCGTTCAAGACGCTGAAGGAACGTCTCGGTTCTCCTCCCATCCTTTCAAAACCCAATCCAGAAGTCGATATGGTAGTTTATTTATGCGTGTCAAATGAAGCAATCAGTGCAGTTCTGGTCCAAGAAGTAGGGTCGCAACAACCCGTCTACTTCATCAGTCGCATGTTACAGGAAGTCGAGACGAGATATCAACTCCTTGAGAAGGTGGCATTAGGGCTTGTTCACACTGCTCGACGTCTCAAACAATACTTTCAGAGTCATCGTGTCATAGTCCGAATGGATTGCCCGATTGCCAAGGTTTTGCGTAAACCAGAATTAGCTGGATGGATGATGGCTTGGTCGATTGAGTTGTCAGAATTCGACATTAATTTCGAACCGAGGGGTCTAGTCAAGTCCCAGTACTTGGTGGATTTTATTAATGAATTACAGCCGAAGGGTCATTTTTTGAGTGATTTGTGGACAATGCATGTGGATGGCTCTTCAAACAATCGAGGTAGCGGGGCTGGTATAATCCTTGAAGGACCGACTGGGCTGACTCTCGAACAGTCATTGAGGTTTGCGTTCAAGGCTTCGAATAACCAAGCCGAATACGAAGCATTGATTGCTGGCTTAAGACTTGCACAAGAAATTGGGGTTAGACGATTGATGTGCTGGACCGATTCGAAGGTCGTATCAGAGCAGGTCAATGACAACTTCTATGTTAAGGACTCCTGCTTGTTGAAATACTATCATTTGATTCAGAGAATGCGCAATACCTTTGATGAAGTCCAAGTAAGACACACGCCGAGAGAACACAACGAGAAGGTTGATCAATTGGCCCGGTTAGCAAGCAGTACTCGGAAACCTGGACAGCTGCGAACCACACTTCACCTTGAACTTACAACTCCGAGTGTGGTACCTACCGAATGCATGACGATTGGGGAGCCCACTCAAACATGGATCATAGATATAACAGATTACCTTGAGCATGGCAAAGAGCCATCTGACCCATCGACCGCCAAAAAGCTCCGAACCCAGGCTGCCAGGTATTCAATGGTTGGAGGAGAGTTATACCGCAGAGGGTTTTCGGTCCCACTATTGAAATTTGTTGATGCAGAGCAAGCAGACTATGTCTTGAGAGAGATTCATGAAGGAATATGCGGTTGCCACTCAGGAGGACGAACCCTGGCCACCAAGGTGCTTCGGGCGGGGTATTACTGGCCAACCCTCAAGGATGACTGCATAAAATTTGTTAAGCGTTGCGTGTCATGTCAACGGCACGACAATCTCATTCATGCTTCAGCCGAAGAGTTACATGGTATTAGCTCACCTTGGCCATTTGCAATGTGGGGCATGGATATCCTCGGACCATTCCCAATTGCTAAGGGCCAATGCAAGTTTTTATTGGTCGCTGTAGATGCGTGTCAAATGAAGCAATCAGTGCAGTTCTGGTCCAAGAAGTAGGGTCGCAACAACCCGTCTACTTCATCAGTCGCATGTTACAGGAAGTCGAGACGAGATATCAACTCCTTGAGAAGGTGGGAGTAACTCTTCTAATTGTTTCTTCAACTCCGCCAATTTAGAAAGTGACATCCTATAAGGTGCCATTGAAATTGGTCCAG